CTTTTCACATCATGTACCCATGCGAGCATGCCTACATGTCACACCACGTATGCAAAAGTGAAAAATAAAAAAGTGAATTACTCGGGTGGGAAGAAGTCGGTATATCACATTGCATATGCTATGTCATCACATTAAGCCACTCGGTTGGCTAAGATTGTAGTTCTTGACTATATGTTTAGGCCCCGTTTGGTAGGGCACCAAACTCCAACTCCCAACTCTAAACTCCAACTCCAGTGAGAGCTAGCTCATATAGAAGTTAAAGTGGGTATAAAAATGTTTGGCTAGATTGGTTAGCTCCACTCTACCACATCCCTTGTTGGCATTTCGTCGAACATATCGTTAGCGTCGCCTTGTCATGGCCGCGGCCGCCGCCGCCGCGGCCACACGCGCGTCGCCCGCGTGCCGCCGCCCGCACGTCGCCGCCTGCGGCCCCTCGCGGCCGACGCGACTTGGCCGCCGCCACCGACGCACTGTCGCCCGCCGCCGCCACCGCCGACGCGGCTGACCGTCAGGAGGAGATTGGGGAGGAAGATGGAGCAGCTGTCGGGAGGAGGTTGGAGAGGAAGATGGAGAGGAGAACGGGAGGAGAGGAGTAAGATGGGGTAGTTCAATGGCATTTTTGTGTAAATATACTAAAAAAATTAATGGCAGTGGGTCTTTTGAGGTGGAGTGGAGCTGCGGACTAGCAAAAATCCAGCTCTACCCCCGTAGTACAAATTTGTGGAGCAGCTCTGCTAACTCTGCTAAAAAACTGAAGAATCTATACCGTTTGGCATAGCTCCAGCTCCAGGTAAGTTGGAGTTGGGAGCTAGAGCTGTGCCAAATGAGGCCTTAGTTGTTTCCCAAATAAACACATAGTCAGGGCTACACCTATTAGGTGCATCTATTCGATACACCTGCTTATTCATCTATTCGATACACCTATTTATTTAATCTATTTGACAAGCCCTCCACAGCTTCTTTGCAAGATATCAAAATGAGGATTCAAGAAGTAAGCACTCGGGAAGCCTTCAGGAAGATGAAGCACTCAGTATTGATCATGAACCACGAAGACTGGAACTCGGCTATGAAGGTCTTGGGGGCTACTGTGGAAAATATGGATACCAGGTACCCACATGGCCTCTATATTCTACTAGAGATAGGAGTGGGCCAAGTCCATATATTATGTAATAGTGTAGGATACTGTCATAGAATTGCCTTTTGTTCTACGGCAGGGCCTAGAGTCCCTGTTAAATACTACCATGTAATAGATTAGGAAACTGATACCATATTCAACTAGTTTTTCCACTTTGTAACCCTGTCCCCCAACCTACCATGTAATAGATTAGGAAACTGATACCGTATTCAGCTAGGTGGGCAGGGAGCCCTCCAAGGGCATAAGAACTACTAGATCGTTAGATCAATACAATACCCAGCGGATACAATCCCCAAAAAGGAGTAAGATATTACCTCTCATTGAGGGGCATAAACCAATCAAACCATTATTCTCGAGAAACCTACCAAAAATATGTGAAAAGTTGCCCCGGGCTCTCCCGGCACTGGTCTGGGTTAGTTGGGTTTCTACCCTGCGCACCACATGGCACATGATGGGCCTGGCGATCCCCAACCTACCTGAGACAGCGCCACAGCTCCTATTTTGCCCAGTTGGCGAAATCGGGTGTCACAAGGCATGCGCGATGCGTGTCCAGACTCTGGTTGTCCCTAATGACTCAGCGTTAGTGTCTTTGCCACATCTTTTCAACCCCAGGCCACTTGGAGTTTCCCCCCATAAACCTATTTCATTTATGGCAGTGAACGTTTGCCCACAGTTGGCAGAGGGGCACGTTCACTACTCAACAAAGCCTTCTGGTCGTGTCCCCGCGTCCCTGAAAGCGAGGTTCTCGAAGATGTCTTTGACGAAAAGTAGGAAATATGTATATCTTATTTGTCTTGACGCTCTCCTCAAGGAAAGAGATGCATCTCACACGGGTATAGGAGGGCCCGGGTCCCAGACCAGGCTGGGACACCGGCTCTCTTTGCCTATAATTTTAAGATTTAGATTTTATACGTCTCGAGGCTCCTCCCAAGCTGGTCCCCTACAAGGACATAGGGGGCCCCGGATCCCAAGCTGGTCTGGGATTCAGGCTCCCCTTCGTACATTTTCTGAAGACATAAATCTTGTACGTCTCGACACTCTTCTTGAGGCAAGAGGTGAGACATACAAGGGCAAAGGTGGGCCCGGGTCCCGGGGTGGGCCAGGATCCAGGCTTCCCTCAGCCTTAATCTTAAGATGTATATCTTGTGTCACAGCTAGGCAATGGCTGACGATTATACGGATGGAACGAACGAGGCCGCAGCCTCCACTGTCGTGATTGGCGAGGTATGGTGATGAATTAGTATAGAAGAAAGAAAGAAATGTGCAGTAGAGAAAGAGGGCACGCAAGGAGGAAGAAGAGAACCGAGGGAGAAAACAAATATAGGAGATTAGAGATTGATTTAACTCTTTCTTAATTCCTCCTTAACGATTACATCTCTTTGAATAAACTCTAACTCTTAGCCAAACAAACAGCTACCAAACTAAAAGGCTTATCTATAACAAACCAAAACCGAAAAGATTAAGGAACTCGCTCCTTCGACACCGTGCGCCTGCTGCCGAGATCGTCGATGATATGGAATGTCCCCCCACATGACATCTCTCCCCTCCTTGTGAAGCAGCTCGTCCTCGAGCTGAAATGATGGATACACACGGCGAAATTCATCCATAGAAACCTAAGACGCCTCTTCTACTGGCAAATCAACCCATTGCACCAAAATTTTACGAATGCCACGACACACTCGAGCTCACACAATCGCAGCCACCTGAGGCACCACACGCCCATGATCTAAGAGTGGCAGTGGGGGTGTCGAAGAGGCGGATCACCACAAAATGGTTTCAGTAGACTGACGTGAAAAACATCATGCAATAGAGAACCAGCAGGCAGCCGCAGCTTGTAATCAACATCTCCGGTCCGCGCAAGCACTTGATAAGGCCCATAAAACTTAGGATTAAGCTTAGAACGGGAAGGCACTCCCAGAGAGACCGCAGAACGCCGAAGCAATCGCAACCACACACAATCTCCAGTATGGAAGACCAAGTCACGGTGCTTGGCGTCATAGTATTTCTTATAAACCTGTTGAGCTTGTTCCAATCGATCACGAATATCAGCCAAAAAATCATCCCAATTACACATAACTGATCTAGGGCCGCCACCTTGGCTGTACCTGGCTCATATGATTGAATTGTTGGGTGATCCCTGCCATAGACAACTTTGAAAGGTGTCTCCTTCAGCGATGACTGAACGGAAGTATTGTAACAAAATTCTGCCCACGGAAGCGACTGAAGCCACTTGCGAGGACGATCACCAACTAAACAACGTCGATACATAGCAATTGCCTTGTTTACTGCCTCTGTTTGCCCGTCCGACTGCGGATGAAAAGCTGAACTCATGTGCAGCTGCACATTTGCTAGACGATAAGTTCTTGCCAAAAGTGGCCTGTAAAAACATTTGCTAGACGATAAGTTCTTGCCAAAAGTGGCCTGTAAAAACCGGATCTCGGTCACCGACAATCGACACCGGAATGCCATGCAGATGGATGATATCATCAAAGAAAGCGACAGCTACTGAAGCAGAATAAGGGTGCCCAAGCGCGATGAAATGTGTGTACTTACAAAAGCGATCAACAACCGACAAAATCACTGATTCACCATGAACCTTGGGAAATCCTTCCATGAAATCCATAGAGATGTTCGCCCAGACTTCGGTCATAATCGGCAAAGGTTGTAGCGAGCCAGCGGGGTGCAAATGTTCCACTTTGTTCTTCTGGCAAACCGTATTGACTTGCACAAACTCTTGGACCATCGCGCGCAAGCGAGGTGTATGTAAATCTGCCTTTACACGATGCAGTGTCTTCTGTATCCCTTCATGGCCGGTATTGTGGGCTGCTGCAACGACAGTGTGGAGGTGTACCGAATCTAGCGGCAAGTATATCTTCCCACCAAATGTTAGGAGGCTATCAATCTCCCCCCAAGGCCCCTCCATTGTACCAGCATGTAGTTGCTCCCGGAACACCATTCTCCGCTCAGAGTAGGTCGAACAACTCAAATTAGGGGGCGAAAAGTGCTATAGCCTGCGGCACAGTATCGGCATCGCAGCAGGACAAGGCATCAGCGACATTATTTTGACGGCTTGGCTTTGTACTCCACCCGGAAATGAAATTCGAGAAGCTTGCTCACCCATGCGTGTTGTGGAATTGTCGACAACCACTAGTCCAGCAAAAATTTCAGATCAATTCACATGAATCAACTGATGATTATCAGGAGCAATGGCTGCAGCGGCCATGCAGACACGGTGACGCCATGCAAACAGAAATTATTTTCAGTTGAGAACACGACGCAGGCGCCGTTGTGGAAACACAGATATGGCGATGAGAATTTTACTGGACCGATAAAGATAGATTGAGATATAGCAAATTCTATGGCTATTTGGATGGACTTTAAGGATAAAAAGGTGGGTGCTAACCACCTTAAGTGAATAAAAGGCACACATTTACTTTAATGAAATCTAAGGGTCATAATGATATGATTTAATCAATCAACGCTCGGATTTTTCTAATTAACGTGAGACCTCCTAGGAAGTGCCCAATTAGTAGAAAATATAGAGTATAAATAGATAGATTGATTGATAGATTGATATAGATAGATAGATATATAGATAGATAGATTGATTGATTGATTGATTGGTGGGATATCATCAAATTTCATTGGTGAGATCAGCGGGACTGCTTGGCACTACAATATATATCCAAAATCTATGGATGAATATAATGGGATATATACAAATCAGCATCAAAAAAAAAAAAGCAAGTGCCATGGTAACAATTTTTTTAGTGATTCAACACAACGATGAATTTCTTGAAATACTACAAGCTTAGTTGTCTAAGGATGTGAAAATCGTGCATGTTGGATTTGTTAATTCGGTTGATAAGATGACAAAGAAGAAATCATTCTACTCATAAAGTTCGGTGAGTTTGATTTATCTATTTAATGATGATGTATGTTATCTGGCCATGGATTAGATCAAATGAAATTTAAAATGAAAGACGCAGGAAGAACACGTTCTTCAGAGGTGCCAGTTAAGGAGCCATCGAATTTTGTTTGAGCGATCCAATTTTGTTTGGCAAGATGTCTCAGATCAAATTTAAGACTGAAGATAGGAAGTGAACATGATTCACCGTTTGTCGCACTACTAGAAAAAATGTATTTGCAGGCGGCATCTATTTTCATAGGCGGTAAATCCACCCGCCTACGAAAATATTTCCAGTCAACAAAAAACAAACACCGCCATCGGCGCCGCCGCCGGCCTCCCCCTCCCCTCGATGGCTCTCCTGCTCCGTTCGCCGCTGCTGCTAGAGGTGAGCGCCGCCAGCTGGCTCCCCCTCTTCCTGCGGCGGCTGTCGTCGTCCTCGCGGCCGACGGCGGAGGAGAGTAGAGCTGAGGGAGAGGAGAGGGAGGGAGCCGCACATCCCCTCCGGCTGCGCTGCCGCCGACGCCCTTCCCCTCCACCCGCGCCGCCATCGACCCCTCCGCCTGCATCTCCACCGACGCCCCTCTCCTCCACCGAATCTGGGAGGAGAGGAGAGGGGAGGGGTAGCAATGCGGCCGGCGGTAGTCGTCGTCGTCGCGTGCGCGGTAGGTGCCGTCATCATCGTGCGGCCGACGCCCTCCGCCCACGCCGCTACCGATGACCCCCTCCGCCCTCGCTGTCGGCTCCTCGTCGTTTGTGCCTTGCCTCCTCGCTGCCAATGACCCCCTCCGCCCGTGCCGCCGCCTCCTCGCTCGGTCATGCCTCGCCTCCTCGTTACCGATGACCCCCTCCACCTGCGCCGCCGCCTCCTCCTCGCTCGGCCATGCCTCGCCTCCTCGCTGCCGAAGACCCCCTCCACCCACGCCGCCGCCGCCGCCCCTCCCCTCCGACGGATCTGGGAGGGGAGGGAAGGAAGGGGAGGGGAGGGGAGGGAGCCAGAAATGAGAGAGAGAAGGAAAAATGAGTGGTGCTGGAGAGGATAAAATGGGAGAGAAGATAAGGATGGGGTTAGGACTTAGATTTTTTAGGTAGGCATTATTTTTGCAGGCGGACCACATAAGGTTCCGCCTGCAAAAATCATACTCCCTCCGTTCAAGTTTGATCGTCATATTTTGGCTTGACACACAGACCAATGACAGGAAACGCACTTATCATCTTTCTAATCTACTCATTATTGCACTTACATCTATCTAATCATAATGGCCCATGCATGCACGACGGAACCAATGATCTGTAGCTAACTGTGATTGCCATTAATTTTGCATGCATGCAACAAGCTTTTTTAGACTGCTCCCGAGGCGTCCGCGCGCAACCTGATTAATTTCGCACGCGAATAGGAACGGCCAGCGCATCGGACGAGATGGAACGGCTGCCGACTGCAAATGTGACGATCAAAATTGAAAATACAATTTTTTGAAATATGACGATCAAACTTGGACGGAGGGAGTATTTTTCTAGATGGACCACTTAAGAGGTCCGCCTACGAAAATAAATGCATTTTCACTGGTGGATCTCTTAAGTGGTCCGCCTGGAAAAATTGATTTTCGTAGACGAACGGTAAGCTTCACCGGTTTATATTTTCGTAGGCGGCCATTTGGCTCCGAAAGTCATACCCGCGGGAAAAAATAAAAGGTCAACGTCGCTAAAAATCATTTTTCTAGTAGTGTCGAACCCATCCAACCTTTGTTTCCTAAAGAGAGAAGTTGTTCTTTGAGAACTTTGTACTGATATGTTGTCCTATCCTGCAGCATTCTCGCTACACCACCACCATTAGACTAGTTCTATCGCCCTCTTGCACGCTATTAGATCAGGAAAACAAGCATTCTTAACTGACGGTAGAAATTATCAAGCACCACTGATAAAGGAGCCTTCTATCAATCGGTACCACACCAACTACACCTTGCCTGTTCAAAGTTATAAATGCCCCATCAGCATTAGCATTCACCCATTCAAGCGGGGGCTTCTTTCATGTATACGTAATCGTCTGAAAAAATGACAAATAGTCTAACATATGGCCGTCCAAGTTGGTGAGTTTTTTATGCAACTAGACCATCCTATGTTTTGCCAATAATGGTCATAGCTTAGTTTTTATTTTTTTTTGAGTGCAGGTCATAGCTTAGTTTGTGAGAAAGACTTTTTTTTTTTTTGAAAACACATCACACTTTATTAAAAGACAGCGTTTAGGGGAATTGAATTCCCGAAACATCACCCAGGATAAACATAAGAGTTGGACCATCTTTAACAAGAGAGGTCAGCTGAAAAAAGGAAGCAAACTTCCTAATGAAACTAAGCAGCAATGGAGCAAATCCACAGGGTACTACGGCAATGCCGCGACGACTGCATCCGAGGGCCTATATTGATGTGCACTCCGCTTGACAAACCGGAAAGCCCCTACGGTTGCCTCCACGGAAACGACACATATGAGAGGTTTGCTGCGAAGCCGTAGATTTTGGTGTAAGCATCACCGGACTCCGCAAAAGATTTCCACGGAGTTCATCGTTGAATCTGAGGAGCTCATACTGTAATCCTGCAAACCAAGATTGCAAATCCAATCTGTGCTCAACCCGAAACGATAAACCCTGCATGGTTAGTGCTGTGAGACAAAGAGGAAGAACTTCCCCAAATCCAGCCAACCAATGACTCAATCCAAAGATGGTGGCGAAGAATTCGCTGTCTTGGTAACACGATGGAGAGGATTGAAGAAGAGGAGACCATCCATACCGCATCCACGCCAGCACTGCAGGTCGCATCCGCACCACAGCGGTCGTCGCAGGCCGCATTGGCACAGCACCGCCGCCGCGAGGAGCAACGGCGCAGCTGCCGCCGCCGCGAGCCGCAACCTCGCAGGCGCCGCCGCCGCGAGCAGCATCCGTGCAGCCGCCGCCGCCACGGGCAGCAGCCGCGCAGCCGCAGCCGCCGCCTCGACCGCGGGTCGCAACCGCACAGCCGCCGCCTCCGTGGACCGCAACCAAGTCGCCGCCGTGAACCGCATCCGAGCAGCTACCGCCTCCGTGGACCGCCTCCAAGCCGCCGCCACCGCCGCGGACCGGATCCGCGCTGTCGCCATCGTCTCGGGTCGTTTCCGCGTCGCCATCGCCGTCACAAGCTGCATCCACGTCGCAGCCGCCGTCTCCAGCTTCCATACCGCACCAACGAGAAAAGAACGGGAAGAACCCGACCTAACGAGATTAGCCCGACTACTGTACTAAACTAGGGGAGGGGGACGACCCCTCTTCCTCCCGCCGCCGGTGACGAGTCCGCCGGAATCGAGGAGGAAGAGGGGTCGAGAAAGGGGATTTTTTCTGTAGCAGGCGAGAGAGGGTTCAAGAGAGAAGCAGAGAGGCTGTGAGAAAGACTTTATTCTTCCTATATATGATAGCTCAGCGAGTATCTTGACCAAGCTAATCCAATCATGTCGCTTTTCAAAAAAATCATCCCAATTAGTGTAGCAGTCAGCCAAATCACCATCTTGTCTTGAATTGCTCTTTGTCCACTTGTTATTCCGTGTACGCTGTTTACAAAGAAGTCCGTTGATGCTCTCAAAAAAAAAAAAAGAAAAGTCCGTTGATATTTTTTTTAATTACACAGTACTCTTACCTAGGATGTACTATGTATACTGAATAGTCTAAAGGACAGTGTAGAAATTAGAGCACCCACAATGGTAAAGTAAGGTGCTATCTATAAAACATGTACATCTCAGCAATAGACTAGATTAATAGTAAATCACCTCAACAGTATGTCTACATGGTTATCTATAGCTCTCTTATGCATTGCCTCGTTTTTCTCTATAGACTATCTCTATGTTAGTAGATAGCTTTGCTCTCTCTCTTCATTTAATATCTTCCAAGTAGGAAAATATGCTGACATGGATTTCTTATAGAGAGCTTATAGATAACCATTGTGGGTGCCCTTAGGGGTAACTTGAGCACGTGATTAATGTAATAAATGATACATCGCTTTTGGATTGACGATTCTCTGATTTGGCAGATAAGATCGGTGACACAAGCAACCGGGATGAGCTTCGGATTCCTTGCTACCATCCAGGGGCGGATCCATGATTATAGGAGGATGGTGTCACTACTACTCCATTGGAACCGACTGGATTCACTCCAACATTTAATCCATATATATAGTGAAATATCACGAGTATACTTGTTTAAACATTGTTAGTGGAAAAAAAATAAAACGGATTCCCTTAATAGAGGGTTTCCGTAATATGTGGGTGATTTGTTGCAACAGCGCATGTAGTAGGGCGCGTGGTGGGGACGGTGCGGAGGCGATGGGCGGCGCGATGCATGCAGTGGCGGACGCAGGATTAAAAACTAGATGGGCCGAAGATGCTCGCTTCATAACCAGTAGTAAACGCAACATTTTATACTTCATATTGTTCTACCACATGTAAAACTGACTACAAATTTCGTTAACTATCACAAGCATTTGCCCGGTCAATCTACACTTTTCATCTTCTCGTTGGAGGCTGAGACTGATTAAAAGGGTATGTCAAATGAGAAAATGAAAAATATAGATTGATTCTACCAAATAATAGTGGTTAGTGGAGCTAGCTATCACTAAAAAATTCTAATAGAACTATGCCTAATTGGAAATCAAAGTGGGAAATTAATTAACCTTGTTCTCGAGGCGGTTGTAATCAGCGAGGTCCAAGATGTCCTCGATGTCGTAGAAGGCGGAGCGAAGCCTGCAAGCCCACTGCTCCATGTCTGTTCTCAGCTGCTTCTGCTCAGGAGGGATCGTCCTCTCAGCGTGCTCCAGCAGCAGCGCCAGCCGCGGGAGAATCGTGGACTCCATCCTCTCCCTCTCCATCTTCTCCTCCCCCAACCGGAAAGAAAGAAACACAACAACAATAGCGTGACCATAGGATCGAATCTGAGAGAGATGTAGAGCAGACGAGACGAGCGACGAAGCAACCAAATAAACCTGGACGTAGATGGTCTCCTTGGCCCGCTCCTCCGACAGGCGGCAGGCCGGCAACGGCACTGGCGCACCACGGCAGTCGGCCGATGCCCCACGGCGAGGCGGGCAGTGTCGAAACAAAATTTCGGCAATACTAAAAGGGGGTGGCTATCAAGTTAGAAAAGTGGATGGGTTTGGAGACAAAGGATTTATACAGGTTCAGGCCTTCTTATTCAAGAAGTAATACCATACTCCTGTCCGGGGATGAATCCGCCGAGTGTATTATTGAATGTATGATCTCCAAGAAAGAACATGTCCCAAGAAGGACTCGGACCCCTCCTTATATAGGGGGAGGTGTCCGTATTACAATGGTATAACTCATATCCGTAACAAAATATGAGTTACAGATAAAATACAATCGTAACCGACTAAATCTCCGGGTATTTCCTTGTCGTACAAGTTAAGAAACAAACCCGAGATACAATAAAGATATTCTATCTATATTCGGTATCCTATATCTAGTCTAAATATAACCGCCGTGTAGATATGGGGTATCCATAATCTCCACAGTAGCCCCAGAGACCTTTGCAGTCAAGTAACTTGCTCAAGAATGATAATCCGAGTGCTTCAATTTTTCCTGCTGAGGCCTTCCGAGTAACAAAAACGAAGACGGTAAAAGGCGAAAAATAAAAAACATGGTGCATCGAATAGATGCACCTAATTAGGTGTAGCCCCCGACTATATGATTAGTTAAAAAACTAAACATGTAGTCAAGAACAAAATAATTGCATAATCATGCATCATATGACAAAAGCATATGCGGTGTCCAACAAGACATTCAGCCGACTGCTTTCTAGTCATAGTAAAAAGAATCCGAGTGAATAACACTCTAAAAGGTTCTCAAATGAACATATTCAACAGGAATCCGAGTAAAAACTCTGAAGATAATCCATCAAATGTTATAAAAATTATGGTAAGAGTCATAGCCTAAGCTATTAGACTTATTAATTACCATAATTAAAATAGGCATACAACACGCCAAGAGAATAACCATTGTAAAAACCAGTCATCTCAAATCAACCCAGACAGCTTTTGCAGCCTAAAAAAGCTTACAAAAATAGTATAACACTTTTCTGTCGGGTACCTTTTAATTTGCATTGTAATAATTCCAAAGAATTATATAACCGCATTAAAAAGGATTTTATCAGCATTGGGCCACACCATTGCGAGCATAAATTGCCAAAGCAAAAATGCCTAAGTCCCTAAGGAGCATAACGGGCCACGCTGTTAATAATATTGGGCTGAAGTACTGTTTAGGCCTAGGCCCATTAGCACCCCCGAAACCCTTAACAAAAAAACCCGAAGTCTAAGCAACGCTTCGTCTTCCCCGCCGGAACTCTCGCCATTTCCCCCATTCCTTGCTACAGTACAGAACTGCGCCGGCGAAACTAGGGTTCGCCATTCCGCCCCAATCCACTTCCAAAAGTCCACAAAAAAATCCTCCACGCATCCCACCGCTTCGATTCCACATCTCTCCCCAGCCATCCCTTGAACCAAATCAGCTCATTCGGATCGAATCGATGGCGGAAGAAAAGGAAAGCTTTGAAAGCCAATGGGCGCCATCCGACGTGACGGAGGAGAACTTGAAGGAGATGGTGGCGCACGGTGTTCTCCCAGCAAAGGAGATTGTCGAAACATGAATTCGGCAATAATAAAACGGGGTAGCGCACGAGACCTAAAAGTGGATGGATGTGGAGACAAAGGATTTAGACAGGTTCAGGCCCTCTCAATGAGAGGTAATACCCTACTCCTGTTTGGGGAATTGAATCCGCCGGGTGTATTATAGATCTGACGATCTAGTTGTCTCATGCCCCCTAGAGGGCCTCCTGCCCACCTTATATAGGGTGGGGGGCAGGATTACAAGATAGAAACCTTAACCAATACGGTATCGGTTTCCTAAATCAGGACTTTAGGCCGTTCCGTAATATACAAGGAAACGTAACACCCAAGTCATGATCTGTTACATATTACATAGATATAAGTTATCCCCTATAACTAGTCGGATAACCATGCCGTGTGGGTATGGGGTACCCATAATCTCCACAGTAGCCCCTGAGACCTTCACAGTCGGAAAGATAACCTTCTCTCGAACTAGATTACTCCAAAGCCGAGTGCTTCAATCATCTTCGTCATGGTCTCCCGAGTACTTTTACCAAATCTGAAGACTGTGGAGGGCTGAAAAATATAGTCAGGTGCATCGACTAGATGCACCTAATAAGTGTAACCCCCGACTATGTGGTTAATCGAACAAACCAAACATATAGTCAAGGAATAAATAATCCAACCAACCGAGTGGTTTTGATAATTATAGTCAACCAAGCGACTTAATATTAATATGTAGCATATGCGGTGTGAATCCCTGAATAATATGATCCAAGTGATATACCGACTGCTTTGTAAAATATGATGAGTGTAACCTAAAGTTGGCTACATTATTGAAAATTCACATAGCAAAATAGCTATAAAGAAGCTTGTATGTTGTGAATAAAGAAATTTCCAAAGTATTGGGCATACGCCATGCGCATACTGCTTTAACAGATGTGCTTAAGTCCCTAGAAGACACATGGTTCCACCACACCTGGAAATATATGGCATATGTGGTATAAAATCCGAGTAAATAAACTCATAAAGGATTTACCAACCGCCTGAAAAATGATCACAATATATAATCAGCCTAAGCCATAATATTGGTCAATAAAAATGCACACTTACGTAGCAAAAAGCAATGATATTGTATTCAATCAATTGCTTAAAAACCCAAACAGCACCATGACTATATAAAAAAGTCAGCGGGCCAGCTATATAAAGCTTTACTGTTTGACACCTTTTAAGATGCATTGTACCAACTCCTAAAAAGTTGAGTAACTGCGGTATAAAAGGATTTTAAGGTATTGGGCACTTGATCACGCGCACTTTGGCCTAAGCAAAAAGTGCCTAAGTCCCTAAAAGAACGTGACAGGCCACACCTGAAAATATGGGCTGCAGACATATTAGGCCTAGGCCAAAAAATATGCCTTCGACACCCTTTAAAGGATGACGCATGTAACATGCTCCCGAGTAATAAATCTTCCGGGTAATATAGACCAAGTGTAGCTCATATGAATAGCTTCTGATCTGAATGATTATCCCTTATGGGATACTCCAAAATAAATATAATAATTGAATCCCGACTGGCGCAAGTATTCGGTTGATAGCCCTTACGGGGAATAATAATTGGTCCAGTCTTTGAGCATAGAAAATAGACTCATGACTATGAATCCATGTGGAATGTATCCGGAACAAGTCCAAATTGGAGATATAATCCTCACGCTTGAGTTGATGAGCCCCTGAGCATATAGCTTGTCCTTCTGTCATAGTCAAAATTGTCTATTGGCAATAGCTGTCGCGACCGGGAAAATTGCCTTTTCCCGAACGCTAGTGTATTAATCCCCGTCCCAGGAAAAGCCGGGGTACACCATACAAACATGATATAAAAGACACATCTTTATTACATCGATAATATTTACATTATTACAAAGGCGCTTCAGGCCTGACAATCAAAAATAAACAGCAGCGGACTAGCGGGCCTACGGCTCCATCTTCACAGGCGCTCAACTGGGGTATAAGCCAGGACTCCACCTAAGACATCTTCTCCAAAGCTTCTCTTACTGAAGAGGGGAAAGATTGAGCAAGAATGAGTACAACCACAGTACTCAGCAAGTCACACCGGCAGATGCATGGTTAATGCAAGGGGGTACAAGGAGTAATAATATA